TTGTTGTTCAAATTTACTATCGCAGTCCATATTTTGTGTTATATAATCTTAAATTCAACATAACAGTTTTAAGGGTATGGAGGTCTTTGATTATATATAGAGTATTTAAAAGCATGATTTATGTTAGTAAATATTTTAGTTATTAATATTGAAATTATATCATTGCTTTTATCTTCTGTTGAATATGTTGTGCTCATATTTGAAAGAATCTAAAACAAATGTTGTTTGACAAGGTCACTGGAATAAAATGTTTGATAATATCTCAAATATCATACATGTGTACCATTCAGTATAATGTAGCAAGTTTAATATATATTTGTTCTCCAATTTAATTCAGATAATATCAAAACAATTTCTTTTCAGCTGCAGTGTATTATATTATAAAAAGAACACAAAATCAAATGATATACATTGTTCAGATTTAATTTGGTTTTTTGATGTATGTATCGTATGAATTCTAAGTATTTTGTGTTTTGATATATTTGCATGTATATATGTCTATATATATATAGCTGATATTTGTATTTTTTAATCCAATAAAATTAAATTTAACTCTTTTAGTAAAGAAATTCAACAAAATGGTTGTTATTATTAATTTGGAATTTAATATTTCTTTGTTATTTATTGGCATATTTACTAGCAACTTATCAAAGATACTCAATTCATATCTTTTAAAAAGTTTGGCATTAATCCACTCAATTTTCAATGTAATTTCTTTAATAATTTGTTTTTCTTGGATAATACTTTGAATTCTATGCAAAAATAAGGCATCTTTGATTGTCACACTCCATTGGAGTTGCTTTTATTTATACTACTCTAATGTCCTCAAAAATTGTCTTACATACATTGCATCTATTATACTATACCTTGTTGCCATGTACTCCATTTCCATTATTGACCTTGTAATTGTTGGTTGTCTCTTGTAATTCCATGAAATAGCTCCCACTCTAAGAAAGAACACATATTTCATTGTTGACTTTCTATCATTTTTATCTCTAGCCCAATCTACATCACAATAATCATGTAAAATAATGTTATGACCTTTAAGGCACAATTTGAAGTATAAAGTGGCTTTTAAGTATCTCATAATCATTTTGATGGTTATCTAATGGATTGGTCTAACCACTGACATGTGTTGATTCACAACATTCATTGCATATGTAAGATCTATCTTTATTCCAACTATTACTAATATAAGTGAATCTACTGTTGCCTTCTATGGAATACCTTATATTTAATCTTGAACTTCAGCAAACTCCACATATGTAAGCTTCATTAACTTTACATTGACATTCAAAGGTTTTCCAACTAATGAAGAAACACAACATGCAAGATACAAGTAAGTAGAAAATAGCAAGATTAGATACAAGAGAAGTGTGGAATGAGATGCCTCTCACTTCCAACACTCTTTATTTATAGGTAGAATTTACATCTATTTTGGCTGGCGTTCATCTAACTTTCATCCAACTAAATCTTAGATTCCTCTTAACATAGCCGCCATCTAAATCCCTAGCTGCCACCTTGGTAACTTTTCTTCATCTTTTTGCTGCCCTTTGACCATTAGCAACTTATTTAAGATAATATCTTTTACCTTCTAACTTATCCTCCATTTACTTTAACACTCCCACTTTGCTATTGGTCAAAGGTTAATAAACCTAATCCCTTTATCAATTTGTAATGTCTATCCTTCACCAATACTTTTGTGAGTAAATCAGCAAGCATGTCTTCCGTTGCACAATATTTCATGTCAATTATTGTCATCTCAATCTTCTCCCATATGAAGTGATGTTAAATGTCAATGTGCTTTGTCCTTGAATGATGCTTTGGATTCTTGGCAAAAACAAGGCATCTTTGATTGTCACACTTCATTGAAGTAGCTTCTAATTGCACAAGTTCCATGTCTTCTAAAACTTGTCTTAGTCATATTGCCTCCATTGTACCATGACTTGCTGCCATGTAATCCGCCTCCATTCTAGACCTTGCAATTGTTGGTTGTCTCTTAGAATTCCATGAAATTGCTCCCACTCATATAAAGAATACATATCCTGTTGTTGATCTTCTATCATTTGTATCTCCAGCCCAATCTGCATCACAATATCCATGCAATGTAATACTATCACCTCCAAGACACAATTTGAAGTTCAAAGTACCTTTTAAGTACCTCAAGATCCTCTTCATGGTTGTCCAATAAATCAATCTAGCCTTTGACATGTGTTGACTCACAACACTCAGTGCATACGAAAGGTCTACCCTTGTACCAGCCATTGCATACATAACTGAGCCTACTGCTCAATTGTATATGTTGAGGGAAAAGATAAAGATGAATAGATAATAATTAAAGTAGAATAAGTTACCTCATAAAAGATATTACCTTAGGTAAGTTGCTAATGGTCAAAGGCTTGACTCTTGGCATATAGAAAAAGCATCCTATGGACATAGGATGCGGTCAAGGACAAAGAGTCAAAGTCAAGAGGATAAAGTGTGTCCTAGGGAATATCCAAAGAACTAGGTAAAAGTAATTAGTATATGGCATAGGATACCCTCGTGGTATGTAAGATGCCATAGGATCCTAGGATCCTTCGATACCCTCGTGGTATGAGCCAAAGGATCCAAAGAGCATATGTGTAAAAGTCAAATGGTGGAAGAAGTCTTTTCAAGGCAGCAACCACCACCTATAAGTAACGAGAGTTGGAAGAGAGAACCATCTCATTCCACACTTCTCTTATGTGCAACCTTGCTGATTTCTACTTACTTGTGTTATGCTTATAGTATTCTTTTCTCAACAGGTTATGGGCCAACACACTCTTTATTGTGCTATTCAAGTAAGTTGAAGTCAATTTCTCTTTGTTGCTTTTGTGTGGATTAGATCTTATGGTATTTATTGATGTTAGGTTTGTTGGTATAAGGAGGCTATTGGTATTAAGCTTGTACATCTCTAACATTGCTTTGTGGGTTCTTATCTCCTTGCTTTGTGAGGTTAAGACTTTGTAGAAAGATCTTGATAGTGTCTTTTGAGTTGGTGAAGTTTCTTCATTATCCTTGAGTGTTTTGATGAGAAAGTGATTAAGACGAGTAATTGTGAGTTCCATGAGGGTGCAATTACTTGTAGAAAACTTCATAAGTTAAGTTGAAAGTGTTTTCAGTGAGATACCACTCTTTTATTCATAACAGGGCATTCTGAGATTCTGCTAGTGCAAACTTCGTTTGGTCACTTTAAGCTTTTAGAGACTCCTTCTTTCAATATTTTTTGATACACTCCTCCTTAGATATGGCTTTTAGTGAGGGTGAAGGTTTGAGAGTGATTGAGAAGTTTAAAGGCAACAATTTCTACCATTGGAAGGTCAAAATGGAGCTTTTGTTGGCGTCTTTGGACCTTTGGGATATTGTAGATGAGAGTGAAGACCCTCCAAGCATAGATGCAAGCCCTAAGGACCGCAAGGACTTCAAAAGACATGAAAAGAAGGCTTTTGGCATGATTGCTATAAATTTGGATTAAGCCAACTTTTCTCACATTATCCATTGCAAAGGACCAGCGGAAGCATGGAAGACACTTTGCAACATATATGAGAGCAAGAACTTGTCCAACATCCTCTTCACAAGAAGGAAATTCTTCACTTGTAAGATGGAAGAAGGTGAAGACCTCATGGCAGATGTTAATAAGGTAAAGACTTTTGCAAATCAACTAGCAATTGTTGACAAGCCTTTAGAAGATGGTGACATTGTCATGACTCTACTCATGAGTCTTCCTGAGTCTTACAACTACCTCATTGTGGCATTGGAGTCTTTGAGGTTGAAGGAGCTTACAATGGACTATGTGACATCAAGACTTGCACATGAAGTAACTAAAAGGAAAGAGAAGGAGCATCAAAGTGAAGATTCAGCTCTCTTCTCAAGACAAGGCAAAGGTACCTATTCCAACCAACGTGACAACATGAGAAGCAATACAAGAACTTGCTTCATTTTTTGAAAACCGGATCATTTTGCACGAAATTACTACAAGGCAAAGAAAGGAGATAGAAAAAATGCTAACAATGCATGTGATGAAGTTGGTGGAGATGATTATGCATTCATGGCAAATGAAGGCACGTCTATGGCTGCCATGTCCAAATGGATCATTGATTCGGGTGCTACCAAGCACATGACTCTATACAAGTGTTCATATGACACTTATGAGACTATTCCAACAACAAAAGTATGGTTAGGAGATAATGGCATGGTGCAAGCCATTAGAATTGGCTCCATTGTGGTGGAGATTGTTGTAAAGAATCAAATGAAGAAGATCATATTGAAAGAAGTGTTACATGTGCCAAAGATGAAGAAGAACCTTCTTTCGGTGAGTAAACTTATTTTTCATGGTTGTAAGGTGCAATTTGATATGAATGGATGCTTTGTGAAGACAGTGGATGGAGATAATCTTTTGAAGGCTTTAGAGATAGCAATCTCTACTTCATCAATTGTAAGAAGGTGAATGGAGTTGAAGTGGCGGCATTTGCTGAATTTCCACAAGATCAAGATAAGTTTGGCATTTGGCATCGACGCCTTGGTCATTTGAATGCCAAAAGTATGAAGGAGCTCCAATTCATGGTTAGTGGCTTAGATCTTGGTCAATCATGCACAAATCTTACTTGTGAAGATTGTATTCAAGGCAAAAATCAATGAGCTTCATTTCTAAGTGGAGTTGCAACACGTGCAACCAAATTGTTGGAGATTGTACATTCTGATGTTTGTGGACCTATGAGGACACCATCAATGGCAGGATCAAGGTACTTTGTTACATTTATTGATGACTTTTCAAGGAAGGTGTGGATTTTCATCCTTAAATCCAAGAGTGAATGCTTTTCAAAGTTTAAGGAATTTAAGGCACTTGTGGAGAAGCAATGTGAGTGCAAGATCAAGATGTTGCATACAGACAATGGAGGTGAGTATTTGTCAAAGTATTTTGATGAATATTTGAAGATTCATGGTATTGCAAGACAAACTTCCACTTCCTATACTCCACA